ATGGCAGGTGATTTGAATGAACACCGTGGCAATGTTTGGGGCTTGACGGAGGGTGGGTTGCTGAAACTTGCCACTTCCTTCCTATTTCTGTTGCTATTTGTGGGCTGGTTTGAAATGACAGGGTGCAGGCACAGGGGAAGGGCTCGGTGAAAATTGTGCCAAGTCACTTGCCATTACAGTCATCTGTTTTAATAATAGTTGAAATGTCTGCTCCCTCACCTTGTCTTTTAGGTAATGTTTTTGGGTTGCTGTCAGACACTAGCTTCTCAGATTGTGACTTTAGTCATTGTCACTCTTGTAAAAACATTTGTAGCTGAATGCTTAATATTTTCCTTTGGGGTAGGTTTTTTAAATGACAGGTTTCTTGGAAGTCTGTTGTTCTAAGTGGATGGAGACATTTCCCTTTCTATGCTGAACTTACATGGCTGGAAGAAATAGCTATGCAACCTTTAGGGGGGGAAAAAAAGAAAATATATTTTGCTGCCTTAAATGAGCCAGTTTGAAACACTCTGCAACTCTTCTGAAGGTTTGCATAGCCAGCCTGAGGTTCCAGGTATTGGTACTTTGGCATCAGGGGTTTGTGGCTTAGTGCTGCAAGAGCCATAAGCCAGAAACAAAAACCCACCCAGCCTCTCTGGCTCTCAGTTACTTACTGGAAAATGCACAAGTGTTTTTATGGATGAGTGATTTGGTTCTGAAGTGCAATTGAAAGTCGTAGCTTGTTTTTATTGCTGTGTGGTGGAAACTCATTTTCTCAGGATAGGGTCCAGCATTCATCTGCAAGGCTTGTGAGAAGTAGAATGCTATCAGGAAAGTTACAGTCCCTTTTCTGGTCTGTCCTTTAGTGGTAGAACAAAGTGATTAATCTGTCCTCCTTTCTTGAGGTCTATGTTGGAAGCTGGGGGATTTCCTCCCCTATCACATCTCTCTTGAAGTTACGGCTTTGTTCTGGCCACAGTCTCTCTATTTCATGGATACAGCTTGAGTTCCTTAAACAAATTTCCATCCTGTGTCTCCACCCGCTTAAACTTCAAACACTTCATAAAGCTTTGGATCACTCTTAGCTTAAATATTTTCTTTTATTCTTGCATTCGTAAAGTAGGTCAGTCTTAAGTGTGACATTTTTTGTATAGAACAGCTTTTTCCAGGAGTTCTGTGGTCGATGAGTAGCGGATATAAGCTTAAGTGTTTGATCATGACATGAAAACTAGAATTGATTTTGAGTGAAATGCTATTCTGAATTTTGTAAAGAGAATGAATGATTACGTTGGGCCTTCTGCCTTTTAATCACCTTCCTGGGCAAATGTATAAAAAGCAATGTTACCAGAGATGGAAGATGACTGGCTGTCCTCAGAGAGGACAGGAATATCATTTGGCAGTGTTTTGGTTGTTAATAAAGGGACATGACCACCGTAAGACCATGTTTTTTCATCGTTTTATAACAAACTTTTGCCTGTAGGTAAACCCAGAGTACATCCTGGAGAGAGCCGTGTCCTTCAGCAGAAGAGGAGCGATTTGCTTTGCATTGAATTGCTGTCCTTTGAAAATGGTTTATCCTTTAGGGATGTTTCAGAGGTACCCCAATACAAATTGGAGTCCTCCTCCTATGTCAGACCTCTTGTACATCTCAACAGCATCTGCTGATTGCTTTGTGCTGGGTCTTGGATGCTTTGGGAGAGGACTCGAGCTCCTAAAGAAGGCAGATTGCCTTTTCCAACTGCTCTTGTGCAGGAGGATAACGTACCACGAGCAGGGTTATCCAGAACAGCCGATCAAAGAAAATTCAGGAGCTATGTAGTGCTTTCAAAGTGTTTTGCTGCAACTACTGCATGTAACTTTGATGAGCCTGTGCTCTGGTTTGCCCATCTATTTCTTTAACAGAGAAGATACCAGCTTACGCCTTCCAGGAGCCTTTTCCAAGCTGGTTACCTCTCCTGCTTCGATTTTAATAAGTGCTGCTTTTTAATCTGTGGTGAAGGGGTTTCTTGGAGGTAGTCCAGCCTTCTTGCAGCAAATCCGAGTTTATGAATGTAGATTTAAATTCCTACCAATCAGTCTGTCATCCCGTTTTCTATTATGTAGCAGCCAATTAACCTGTAGCACTTCTTTATTTTTCTTGAAGAAAACAGGTTTCAAGGAACGTTCCCCTCTCCAAACATGACTTTCCTGGGTTTAGATAGTCTTCAGAAATCCCACTTTAGTGCATTTTAGTTGCTGTGTGAGGAAAGGCGAAATCTAATGTAGCGATCAACGCTATATATTTTCTCCCCATGAAGGAGGAGTGAATTTTTGAAGTGATTATATATTGCTGAAGCAAAGAGGAGGCTTTGGCTAATGCATATCCCGGCGTGCCTTGGATTCATAATGGTTCAGTCGCTGGCATTGTTGTTTGAGTCTCAAGATACTGGATCTGGCTATGGCAAAGCAACTTTATTGAAATAGCATGTTGGTATTTAAAACAATATTAATACTATATTTGATTCATTAAATATACAAAGGCAAGTTAAAGCGTTTCCATGTGTGCACTGTTAGTTCTGGCGGGAGGTTCTTCAGATGGTTTTATGTGGTTTCAGACAACATTTTAGCACATTCTTAAAATACCCACAAAAGCCTTTATGTAAAATCTCATAAAGGTGAACCACATAAAAATTATTTTTTTCCTGTTTCATGTCATTAGGATCAAAGTACAGTAGGTAAGAATAAATTTCCAAAAACCTTGTTTCGGTCCCTCTCTTAATTAATGTTTCATGCTCATAGCAAGCTCATAAAGTGGGTAATGGGGAAACTGTCTGTACACACTGTAATATTCTCAGTGGCTGCCAGTTCGTTTTGAGTGAATTCACTTATTCTATAAATGATTTTTTTTATTTTTTTTTTTTTTTTAAGGAAACTTAGTCTGGAAATGGACAATAGCTTCTGCTCTCTGGTCTTTGATTCACGCTGCCCTTTTGTCAAAGAAAGGGTCATTTAGATTGGAACCGAGGTTCGCTGCGGGACTGAAATTCCCATTAACTGCATTAACCAAAATCCATTTGTGAATTCCCCAGGGGATATAAAAAGGGTGTTTGTTGGTTTGTTAGGTTTAAATTGCCTGCTGGAAGTCTGGCTTTAGCGTGCCTGCGGAGCAAAGGGCTTTCCTTTTGTAATGGTGTATTATCTGTGGCTTGACAAATGTCATAGGACAGTGCTGTGAGTGTTGGTTACTTAAATGTCCAGGCTAAGCTCGATGATAAGTAGGAGTAGTCACCCATTAAAAATAAAATGATGTGGTGAGTTAATATGAAGTCATATACCCCTCCTGGGCTCAGCATTGTTTTTGATACAGACTCAGATACATGCAATTAAAAAGAATTGGGGCTTTTGGTGACTCTGCCTTCTTGAAACGACATACTGGACTGATCTGTAAGTGCAGAGAAAATGTTGGAAGTTGCCTGTGTTATTTGTACTAACTTCCCAATATCTTTTCTCCTGACTTGTAGAAAAGGATGGGATAGTGTTCTTGAATCTCCAGTACTTCAAGCTAATACATGAAGCCCAAAGTGCACAGTAAATCAAATCTTAAATCCCATTAACAACTGTCAGGCTTGTGTTTAGAAAGGAGGGGAGCGTGAAGATGGGAGGGTTCAACAAGTTTTTCATGTTGGCGATGAGTGATGCTTTCCTTTCTTGCAGGAGAGGAGAAACATGCGGTCACTTGCAGATCTATGTGATCGTCTTGCTCATGACAGTAAGAGGCAGGAATATAGAACGGTTTAATCTGCGTGACTCTCTCCCAGTTTAGCTGCTGGGAACTGTCAATCATATCCGCTCCTTGTGTCTTTGGATGATGAGCTTTTGCTCTCTTCCAGACAATGAATGCTCAGGTGTTTTGTCTGCTTTATGTAGGCACTTGAAAAATGGCAGTAGGTGCTCAGAAGAGAGGTAGAAATCCCTGACTACTAAAATGTCTTGTCATTGATCTTCCGGCTCAGCTGAAGTTGCCTCTCCTCCTTTCCTTAGTTCTTCGCAGGAGATGGTGATTCTCTGCAGCATGAGTTCATCGCTGAGATCTGAGAGTTGTGCGCCGTGAAAGGCTATTCCCTTTTGCTCAGTTCTCCTTATGGCTGTTTGGTAACTTGAGAATGGAAACAGTTGGTAAAATGCTGTGGGTTATAGTTTCGGTTTTCTAGAAGCCAAAATTGGTTCTTGTGCATCTTTCTTCCTACAGTGTTGGGGTGTTTACCGTTACTTTAAAGTGCATCTTTCATCCGACACGTGAGGAGCCTAGCCCTGGTGTTACAAAGAAGGAGCTGGGTTCTGCAGATGTCATTGCTTTGTTAGGTTTCTGAGAGAGTACTTTTTGCTACCAGAAAGCTACGAGTTAGGTAATCTAGCCTGCTCTCTATTGTATGCCGTATCTGAAGCTGGAATAATACGTAAACCTTGACAGCATCCCTTCGTTTCTAAGAACCTTGGTTTCAGTTCAACCTATTTGCGAGGAATCAATAAGTCAGCTTCACATGAACTTTTGAGACAGCAGCATAAAGCTACGTACTTGCTCCCTTTTGTCTTAATTAGTGGACTTTGTTGTAAAGAACTTCCAGACTTTCCCAATAGCGAGAGAAAAGGAGGGGGGGGGGGGAAAGACCAAACTGTAAAATAAAGCCTTACTCTCAGCCTACTTTGTAGCTTGTGCTTTTACCAGCTGTTATAGTTAATTGGAATCAGAGGACTTGTTTGCTCAAGTACTGTAGAAATCTGTAGCTGGCTCTTTTTCTCGCTAGACTTTTATTCTCCTTTAGAGAAATGTACAGTTTCTTGTAATTAAAGTCTCTGTATTATAAAATGATTTAAACTGCTATGTTTCTAGGTATATAACTGGTGAGAGCGTGCCATCTTAAAAGAAAAAAAAAATCTTTACTAGGATATAGAGATTCTGCTTATTTAAGATTATTATTGATATCTAATTCTGCCTTGGATCCTGCTTACTTTTAACGTGCCTATTGGATTGCGTCCTGCAGGTATTTTGAAGGTGGAGTCTCCTCTGTCTACCTCTGGGATCTGGATCATGGTTTTGCTGGGGTGATCCTCATTAAGAAAGCTGGAGATGGATCAAAGAAGATTAAGGGATGCTGGGATTCCATCCACGTGGTGGAGGTTCAGGTACAGCCTCTGGGGCAGCTGATATTCTTAAGTGAAAACAAAACCCAGTTAATTCCAGACAATTAACGAGCACAGGTGTTCCACTGAACAATGCAATATTGTGTTAGGGGCTGTAAACTTCTTTCCCCTGTTAATTTTTGAAAATTCCCTGAAGCAATTTGGATAGAGATAAGTCAGGGCTGTAATCAAAAAGAATCCCAGAAGAATTGAAAGTATGTTACTTTCTGTGTATGTGATCCTGAGATTTTTTTTTTTTTAACATAAAGGTCTACAGATAAATATCACTAATTAGGTAATAAAAACAAGGTAATAGGAGGTTAAATTGCTCTGACTAGATTTGCTTTGGAAAATGAGGGGAATGTGCACACTTAGGGTTGTTTTTAAGAAGCGGTCTGTGCTATGTGAGTGGAGTTATACATATCTGTCCTGTTGCTCACGGGTCTTTGGGGCCAGCCGCCGTTTAGTTTCTGAAAGGATTTTAACCTTTTTGTCTCTATGCTTTTTGTTCTCCTTCCACTTCTAGGAGAAATCCAGTGGTCGTACTGCTCATTACAAGCTGACCTCCACAGTGATGCTGTGGCTGCAGACTAATAAAACCGGTTCTGGTACCATGAACCTTGGAGGGAGCCTTACCAGACAGGTATGTCTGTATATTGGCATAGCGCAGGCTGCAGACCCAAGGCGTGCCTTTCCTTATTTATATACCCAGTAGCCCCAGTCAGGAACAAAAAGTTGATTTTGTGAGGTGTTGTATAAACATCTATTCTCCTGCTGCGCATGCAGCCCAGTGAAACAGTTAATGCCTAAGTGTGTAATTACCAGGAAACCCCTTGAACTTTGTTTGACGGCAGTATAGCTTTCAATTAAAAATATAAAACATTCAGTAGGAGTTTAGACTTGCTTATAAGTCTGAGTTTTTCTTTTGGTATTCCTAAATTTTTATACTTCCATGTGTGTCACCCAGACAAATATTTTTATCTGTAACATTTGCCCACTTTCTTACTGGAAGATTCCAATAGGATTATAAAAATACAAGATGACCTCTTTTGTTATGTGTTTCTTTTAAAAGCCAGCTAGGCCACCGTGAACGAACCTGTATTTTGCATTAATTATAGGATTCTTCTGTTCTTAAAGATGTCAGTTATCTTTTAGTATCCTTCTTTAGTATTTATCTTTTAGTATCCTTCTTTAGTATTCCTCTTGCAGTACCAGGCTTTAGTATTTATCTTTTAGTATCCTTCTTTAGTATTTATCTTTTAGTATCCTTCTTTAGTATTTTCCTCCTGCAGTACCAGGATGCTTGATTTAAAAAAAAAAAATCTCTTTTTAAAAAAAAAAAAAAGTTATAAACATTTGGGGGTTTTGTGCCAGTGTTAATTACTTGGGCTTCCTCTTGAGAGAGCCGGTTTTTGCAAGGAAGGTGCCAGACTGATGACTGCTCGGGCAGCGCTGCTGTCTTGGGCTCTGACAGGCAGAATCTGCTGGACTTGACCTCTCTGGGTGAGGGTGCTCCTGCCCCAGCCACCTGCCGTAGGTCGCCGTCTCCCTGCTTCATGCTGCTGCTGAATTGCGGTTGCTTAAGATCTAGACTGTGGAAACCAGTGACTCGAGCAGAGTAATAAACTCTGGAAGACAGGAGGCATATTGTATGGTCATGAGTGACTAGAGAGATTGGCAGTAGCTAAAACTCCTTTATGAGACTTCCCAGGGCAGACTGTTGCTTTCGATACAAAGGACAATGCAGACTCTGTTAAATGGTTCATGTTTTTGTACAGGTTTGAGCCAGGCGAAGGAAAGAAGGATCTGTGATTGCAGAGAGGAACTGAAATTGTTTTAGTATTGCAGTCACAGAAGCTTGCCCTAGACCTAGGTGATTTTTCTTTCCACGTTGTTGATTTACAGAAGAAGCTGATGGAAAAGCAGGGGGGGAAAGGCATCTGGCGACAGTTTTGAGCATTGCGTACTCTTTTAAAATGTTTTCAGTAATTACACCCGAGTTATGGTGACCCGGACAAATATTTAATCACAGGCCTTCCTAGTACTTTAAATCATAGCTGTGAAGTGGAGGCCAAGGGCTTGACTCTGGCCGTGGCCTTATGGTGCGTGAGAGCTGCGCCAAGGAAAACAAGAGCCTGTTGAGAATGGGTGTCCTCAGTACACCTTGGCCTGAACTGCTGGGCCTTGTTTAGTTTGACTTTCACTCTCTAAGCTTTAGTGGGGAGATTCATGCTTCTGTCATCATTTTAACAGCAGATCATTTAATTCATATGTGATGCATTAAAGCAGGGGCCTGCTTCCAATGTAAGTAACCATAAAAAAGCCACTGGGGTAACGATGCACTGCCTCTGCACAAACAATGGAAACTTGAGTTTCAGAATCTAGCTTTGGGCCGGAGATTTTCTGTTTGCAGATGCCATGGTAGGCTTAATGGGACAGGCTTCGTCAGAATCCATGGCAGAAAACGAAAATCTTCATGCTGCCTTGAGGTATGCTATGTGAGGAGCTGTTTGTCCTGAGCCATTTATTTAGCTGTAGCTGGACTAAACTCCTGCGTCGCAAGGCTTTTACTTTGCTGTAAATCCAGTTTGCCACATCACCTAAGGACAGCAGGTTTTATTTTTACTTTTTGGTAGGCTTTTTGCACGGTCTGCAGCAAACTTAGGCACCGAAAGTAGATTTTAGTTATCTCTCGAAGGGTACGTTACAGTTTTACCTTGATGATATCAGCAACCTGATGTTCTACCCATAATTTTGAAATAATTTTGTCCACAGTAAATTGTACATGGTTTTGGTCAACTCTACATTTAAGCTACTTGAACCACCTTTGATCCTAAAATGTGAATAGCAGATGTCCTTGTGTTTCAGTGGAAGCTTTTGAAGTGTTCACAAGCTTTGTAATATCCTGGCTTATAAACTGATGGCAAAGAGAACCTTTCAATGCTTTGAAAGGGAAGTCTGTTGAGAGCCATTACTTTGAAACCGGTTTCGCCTCGTAGCTGCAAATCAGGTATTTTTCGAGTGATGACTGGAATGATTAACTTGGTGGCCAGGAGCAGGCGCAAAGGAACAGCTAATGTAATGCCTCCTAATTCACCACCTTTGGCAGCGAGGAAGAGCTGGGCATGTCTCGCATCAAAATGCTGTGGGGAGCGTTTGCAACTTCATATGGAAACACTTGCTCAGTAATTCCCCTTCTGATGCCTGCAGATTACACTCAGTGCAAGTAATCAAGCAATCCTGTTTGTTCTTCTGTGAATGGACAACGTGGTAGCGTGGTAGAGCTGAACCTGGATCTGGAAGTAAGAGTCTAGAAATAGCTGTTCTCTGCTGTCATTTCCTACTGGTGAAATATTGTTGCCCCGCATCAGACACAAACATGGGGGTTTTTGTTGCCTTTGTCAAGGCTATTTGGAAAAACTTGTCTTTGCATTTCTTGAATGTCCTCAGACTCTTTGTTACTACAAGGCTCCCGCTTAGGTTATTCTTAAAGGTTGCACTGAATTTCTAAGAATAATTCTTTTCTCTCTCTCTCCAAGGCACCGTGTATTTGGGTATTCTCACACCTGGCTTGGGGTCAGGTGATGTTACGTTCTGGGTAGATCTTACTTAGAGGTCACGTCCCTGTCCTGTCTCTACTTTAATGTCATACACTGAGAAGTGACGTATCTCTTCCAATTCATTGAACTACTACTTTTCAGTGGTTTTCCCAGTGCAGTTTTTCATGTGCTACAATAGCAGTTGTCTCTGTTTATAAGCGGAAAGTAACTGTACAGGTGTTTTACATTTGTAAGTGGACAGAATAAGGAAAGAGAGGGAGAGACATGGTAGACGGAGGACTCGGCCTGTTTTGGGAAGCAGAAAATCTCCTTTGTGTAGCTTTAATTTACTTCACCTGGTGGTTTTCAAAATGAGAACTTCAGGCTTTTCTTTATCAGTTCAATTATGGAAGTTTCCTTTTAAGAGTTGGAGTATAGACTAATGCAAATAAAATGGCATGCGATGTGTTCTGAATGGAGTTTTGGATTTTGGTTTTGTTTAAAACGTAGGATTTCAGATTCTGTCCTGATCCAATAGAGAAATATGTGTGTATATACACACACAAGTATACAACACAAACACAGACGTATAGTGATATATATTTCTTTACATAATTTATGTATATGCATAATTGATTTATATATGTGCATGTATAAACTTTTATCTTGAGAGGATGAGAGAAATTCTTAGCCAGGTCTGTGCATGTAGGGTCCATAGATCATAATTTTGGTCTGAAAACTTAGGGAGAATTAAAACTTAAAGTGACATCTTTGCATCGGACGCTTTGTTAGATCCTTGTTGAAGCAGTCCTTTTGTATGGAAGTACACTTGTCTTTTTGCCTAGTGAAGATTTTGTTCTAATCTTTAGCAATACATGTTGCTGTTATACATAAATATACATATACATAAACACTGTGTATGTGGCCATCTCTGCTTTGACTCCAAAGGACATTATAGACGAATTTTTTGGTGGAACTGGAAAGAGAAGGCTGATTTTTTTTTTTTTTCTTTTTTTTCCTTGCTATGGTCCTCCCCCAAAAGGCATGCAATGTCAGATAGAGAACTTCTATTTTTATAATTTGCTAAACAAGGGTGCTCTTCCAGGCAGTCTGTTCTGGAGACGAGCCTGGATGCAACTCAAGAGAGCTTGGAGTTGAAGCACCGCAGGCCGGGATGGAGGAAGTAACTCCCAGCTCACGTCCGACCCTGGCAGGCTTCAGTCGATACAAGGACTGGGGCTGGAATTTGGATAGGGAAGGAGTGATTGGCGTGTTATATGCCGTCTGCCTTGACGAGGGGCCGCAGGTTGAAGTGCTGTACGTCTGAGCGGAAAGGACAGGACGTGTTACCTTCAATTTAAAACAAAAGGAGCAATGCTTGCAGGGAAATGAAAAATGCCAGCAGCTTTTCAATTACCTTGCACGTTCTCCAGTGACTGCAGGTAACTCCCACCCCCTCCTGATTCAAGCCAGATGCTTGGCAGATGATTTTCTCTCTGACAGACGTTAAGGTCCCGTCCCCTTTGTGTACATTGGAATTACTTGTGTCGTTTGCCACGGCACTGTATTGCTTTGGCTGAATTTTGAGGTTTCATTAGGCTGCACTTTTATTTAAGGTAAGAGCAGCTGTATGATCCTGTTTCGTTTTATGCAAAGTAGATGTAGCCTTCCCGTTTTCTGGCAAATAGTCAAAACTGCACTTTGCTGAACAGATTTCTGGAGCCCCCTCCTTAAAAGCAAGACTAACAGGTGCCTTTCTGGGATAGCGTTGCGCACAAAGAACCTGTGTGTGTTTCCTAAGCCAGGATGAACATTGTGAGGAAGTGCAAGTTTGCTGAGAAAGAAGTTGGCTCAAAACCTATAGTTTATTTACATACAGAGGTGTGGGAAGGGGAGGATATAAAGTTGTAGGGGAAGCGGAGCCTGGGATTTCAGATTAAAGCAGCACAGATGTGCGTTGATTTTCATACTTGAAACACTCTCTAAGCGAAGGTGGAACATTTTGCAGAGCTGCACGAAGGCTGATCTGTTGCAAACTGAGCTCTCCCTGCGTTAGGGAAGATGGGCCCTGTGGTATATTACTGCTCAATAAAACACCAGCAGAGACATTCTGCCATTTATCATAATAGGTAAATCCTCCGAGGCTTGTGCTCTGCAATCAGGAGAGTCATATATTTTCATCAAGTCGAGCTTTCATGTAGCGGCCTATCCCACCGACTTCCAGATGTTGTAGCGTTAAGCGGGGCGTTGGGGAGTGTTTTGCCACCGGAGGGATCTTCAAGTTGTAGCTGTCGCGATCCTTGAGCTCCCCCTCAGCAGTGTCCAGTTTCCTGGAGGCACTGTCTCTTTAATTACTAAACGAGTAGTATTTTGGGGTGCAGAGGATAGCAGAGATGTACTGAACAGTAATTGTCTGGGAAATTATTTCTGCGTCCCACAAACATGTGGATTTCACAGTGGTTCAGTTATAGCTGGTTTAGAAAAAGAGAGTAGAAGAGTTGAGCACGTATGGACTGGTGGCATATTGAGCTGATGTAGCATCCCCAGATTTGCTCATGGTTTTGAACATACAATTTGGTAAAGGATATGGGATATCTTTGGTTACACTGGTTAGAGTAAATACACGTGAAGGCCGTGAAAGGATGAGGTAAGTTCTCGGCTGATTTCTGCGAAGCTGCGAGCTCCGTAGAGCTCACAACCTTCATTTATCTAGTTACAGTTTGAAATAAGCATTGGAGAAAGAGGCCAAATTTTGCCTCACTGATATCCAAATAATTCCACATGTTTTCCACCTGGAGACTTCAGCATGCCCACTGCCTGTGGCTTGGGAGCCTTTGGCTCGCATTGGTCTGTTTGTGTTTCATTAAAGAGATTTTCACATCGCGCTGTGGCCAGAGCAGCTGCGGGTGTTGTCGTCAGTTCTTTGGAGCAAAATGGTGGACGAGTTTCCTTCTTATCTTTCTAGTATTTTTAGATGCTTTCATGTTGAACTGAAGTGTTTATCCAACTTAAATTTCTCTCTTCGTGTTAACTCTTCCTCCAAATAACATTTACAGAAAGCCCAAACAGCTGCTATATTCCATGCAGGAAACGTCCGAAGTGACCAGCCAGCCACCGAGAGCTTAATATACCCAGAAGAGTGAGTTTTCCTCTGAGTCAGACTTGCAGCAGATGGCTGGGGAAGTGAGGCAAGGAAGCCAAGCAGTGTACCTCTCGAACGGGAGAGGAGCGACTCAGCCATGTAGATTGGACTTGGCTCATTCTGGAGCGTTAGGTTTTTGGCTGGGCTCGACAGCAGATGGGGAGTGACAGTGGGAAGATGAGCTGCTTGTTAACATCAACTTACAGAATGGAATTTCCCCTCAAAGCAAATTAACCCCTTTCTTTAAGCAGCTATAGGCTTTCTGCTTAGGTCCATGCAGTAACAGCCACCGGAAGGAACCTTTAAAAATCCCAACAACTCTGCTGTTTGTATAACATGGCTGCTTACTGACTCTGAACTCCATTAAAACAGCCTCTCGTAACATCTGGGCTTCTATAGCATATAAAAATGTTTTCCTTCTGGCAGCAGTTTTTATGGAGATGTAATAATATACGTTTTGCAAAAAAATAATTCTATTTTCAGATTCTGCCTCTTACCAATGAGCTCGGCCCGTCCAGGTGTGGAGGAGACGCAGTGGGGAGCCTGTGGAAGTAAATGACCCACTGCCAACTCCCCGGCTGCCCCAGATTTGGTCAATTTGCTGATAGTTCCCAACCTCAACCGTAACGTGTATATGTGTGTTTGGGTAGTTCAGATTTATATTGTCCCTCTGCTGCAACTGGATCCGTTCTCCAGGCAGCATGTCTCCATTACATGTAAACAATCTGACTGCAATCTAAAGGAAAAATTAAATGTCCTTGTTCTTTTTCTCCCCCTCTTCTAGGTTATCTTTTGCCTTCAGGGTTCCAACTAAATTACACGCTTCCCCAAGCCTGTTAGAGACTTGGCTTATTAGAAGAAACCTGTAGCTGGCCCAGATTTTTAAACTCTACCCTGAGGGCGGGATATGAACAGATGGATAAGAGAATTCAGTGGGATTAGTAAAAGCCTTTGAAGACTGTTCTTCCCACTACATTTTTCTCCCGGTTTTGTTTTCATCCCATCTCAGCACATCTTGTATCAGTTGAGGTTCCTGGGACTGATGTTCGTTGTTCAACAGCTTGTCCGTGTTTAGCCAGAATTTTCATCTCAAGATCTGGGGAAGATGGTCTTTTCCCTAGCGCAGATCATGGATGGTCAGCTGTGGCCTCTGGATGAACATCATAGGGGGCAAAGTCAGATGAAATAAAGCAAGTATTGCATTCTGCAGTACCAGCTCCCAGTTTTTGATCTTAGTGATGAAAAAATCTCACCCGGTTCAGGTACCTGTCTCCTGTTCAGAAACCACACTAAGAACGTGGTATCGTCATACACTTAAGCTGATCCAACTCTGAATTTCTACTGCAAAAGGCAGCCTCCTCCTTTCCCCCATATTTACCGCTTTGTACTTCCTTCCTCCTAATACTTAGGTAAATGTTGGTTCAGCTTTTTGGTCTAAAAAGAACTAGAAACTGTCAAATTTCTCTTTCCATATTATTGCAGTAGTTGAAATCATCAGCAGTCTTGCAGGTAGTTGTGGTTTTTGTATTCTCTGCACCTTCCCTCTACTGGAAGGTAAATAATTCCTAAGGTGTCTTTTGCCAGGAGATCCTGAAAATGGAGAATGTGCCCCACGTGTGGTCGGAAGTAGCTGTTTGAGATGAAGATTAAAAGAAACAGCTGGTTTTGCAGGGATAGTTCACAGCTGTTAAACTGACAGCACCATCCTTGTGTGCATCTCATCAACAACAACCTTGTTTTCATATCCACATGCTGTGCTACTGCGCTTCTTGTCGTGTTACATGCTCGCTACCGTAGATCTGCAGCCCCTTAGTAGGTAGGGAATGACAATCTTGTAGTGCCTGTCTGCACCAGGGATCTACAGCAGGGTTTTATTTTGATTCGTGGTTTTTATTGCATACGTTTCTGCTATCAACATGTGAGCCTTTGTCTAGTTCTGGGAATTTCTCAGTAAGTTGCTAGTCTGTTTGCACATTGAAAAGAATAGTTACTCTAGGATTTTGAGACCCGCTTCTTCCATCCCTTCTCTTCATAAGGAAAGCTGTCATGCGTCTGCCACCAAATTTCCGTGTTACCAATGGAGCTGTGTCTTTCCTTTCTAGATGGAGAAAGATGAGACTGTGAGCGACTCCTCTCCACACATAGCCAATATCGGACGCTTGGTAGAGGTAAGTGCTGTGAAGCCACCACAGCTTGAGCCTGCTGCAGGTTCTCTTGCACGTATTTGGTCCCGTGTCTAAGGATTTTGTTGTACACTTGCTGTTGTCTTTACGAACAAGTTACTTATTCATATTGTGTCAAGTCTAATCGTGCTAATGTTGCTCGGCGTTTGATGGCCCAGTACTCCTCCTATCGTCTTCCAACAGTTTGTAGATACAAAAACGCCGCTCTGCCCTTTGTCTCCTGCTCATTACAGCAATAACCTTCCTGTAGAATAAGTGGTCCTTTCCTCAGAATTAGTTAACAATTTCCTACCCCCATGCCGCTATAGTTACTTTTGGGCAGAATTATTTGAGCTCAGGTTGTGTTATATAGAACTGTCCCTTTAACTGAAAGTTCAGTGTGTATCAAGTGCTTATTAAATCCACTGGAATTGTTTTTGATTTTATGGCAACTGTCAGTCATGTATGCTCAGTGAAGGATGTGATTGCTTTAGCCACTCAGAAGGGCTTTGGTGCAACACTAGCTTGTTGTTTCATTGCACTGTCTGGTATGAAGGTGTTCTTGATTTTCTTGATCTTCATAGCCACTTCGGCAAGAGAGGAGGAAATTCTCAACTAAAATAGACTATAATGCATTTTTTAAAGGAACTGGGGAATGAAAAGAAGGCAGGTACTTCTTTTTTGATCCCTTTTCTAAGCTTTTGGCTTCAGCGAAAGCAATCTAATGACTAACTGCTGCTTATTTACAAGATCTTTCTTAAAACTGTTTGCCATGCAGTTTTAACGAACGAGTTGCCAGCTGAAAAATTGAAAGTAACCCATAAGCACAAAACTATGGACCTGTTGGTTATGCTGAATGACTGACTTGCCACTTACAGTCTGTTCCCTGCCAGGAAATGACAGAGTAAGGTTGGGGTGAAATGCGTTTTCCTTTTCTGCAACTGAATGCAGAAAAACTGATAGCTGGACAGAAACTGCCCTCTTGTGGTCCAGAGAAACATCTCATAGCCTAGAGAAATTCATTGGGAGGAGAGGAGAGGAATAGAGCGAAGCCTTTGTTTCTTTGATACGAGCAGAGAGAGAGGGTCATCTTGTCTTCTGTGAGAATTTAAACAGTAGGAGTACGCCGGGTTGAACGGTGCTGTGGCAGGTAAGTGCTGTACATCAGGACAAACACATAAGATGCGCAGAAGAGTGTAAGTGCACCATTCCTGAAAACGGCGGGCGCGGCTAAAGATCTGGTTTCTTACTTTTTTCCTAGGACATGGAAAACAAAATCAGAAGTACACTGAATGAGATTTATTTTGGAAAAACAAAGGACATCGTTAATGGGCTGAGGTAAGGGGCTCCCTTTGCTTCCCTGCGTTCCCCTGCAGCGCCTGTGGTACCGTCCCCAGCCGAGCACTGATCTGCTTTTGTTTGCTGGAACCCCCCTTTCCTACACAAAGTCTTTTCATGTCCCTAATTGTTCACCTCCCTGTGCTTTGGAAACATTATTTGTTGTGTGGAGTTGAGGGAACACGTCTACCTTGTAACTATAGAAATTTGAAGCAATGTTTTAATCTCTTGTTCCCTCACCAGGAAGAAAATAGCCCAATTAGCAACACTTGTATTTCAGAATTATTTTTAATTAGGACTTCTATTCTTGACAATCCTGAAAGTTGTACTTAAATTCTGACTTCTCTTTCTACTATTCTTAAAAACAGTCAGTTGGTCCCAGAATTAAGTCATGACATTCACGGTTTGTGGTATTTAGACTTTGTTTTAAACTCTGTCTTTCTCTCAACACCGCTGGTCGAAATATAGTGTACTAGAACAGATTAAGTGAATAAACCCCCTGTGCCTTTCTGTGGGGAAACTGTACTGTACTTTTCAACCCCTGCTCATTTCTGGTCAGGAATTCTGCGTAGAAATCCCAAGCTGGAAGTTCTCATGCTCGCAGAGGAAAGTACAGGACTGTGATGCCAAATCATTTCATTTTAAACTGCAGATAGATCTCCTAGCACGGTGTGGTAATGTAGAATAAAAAACCGGCGCAAATAAGCATACTGCTGTTCTCTCACATACTGAAATGTGAAAGCAGATAGAATAACGGTGCTAATTAAATATTTGTGTTGCCTTCTGAACAGCATGGGCAGAGGGAGTCGGCAGTATCTGAGAAAGCAGCTGTTCTGGGTTTTTTTTCCAAACCCCAGCTTTCATAACAGGCCTCTATTTTCATTTGTGGTGTGCAGGGGTTTAGCCAGGAAGCATTTATTAACATTAAAAGGAAATATGTAATACAGTCTTTTTCCCTGTGAACATTGCCTTAAGCTTTTGTAATTGAATCTATTTCCTGTGTCTCCCCATCGCTCAGTTTGAGTCATGGTACTTTGTGCAGCGGTGAGACGATCTGCTCAGAACTGGTAACATACAGAGCATCTGGCTTTGGCTTTTCCTCTGGCCTTTTCCCTGTTTCTTCTAACCTATGTATTTATCTTCCTGAGAGTGCTCCTGGTGTTTCCAGAATACCAGCTCTGTGTTACTGAGTTCTTCTGACTGTTCTTTTCCCTGTTTACTTCCCTCGTTTCTAAACTGCTCTCTGTAGATCTATTGATGCTATCCCCGACAACCAAAAGTATAAGCAGTTGCAGAGGGAGCTTTCTCAAGTGTTGACCCAGCGCCAGATCTACATCCAGCCTGATAACTAAACCAATCCAGGTACCCCCTGCCTGTCAGGTGTGACAACCAGCACTAAACCAGGACTCACCCAGCCAAGACCTCTGCATGATAACTGAGGCCAGAACTAACCCCTAACTCCCGCAGACTGATAAACGACATTGGAGCCGTGTTTCACCCAAGGGTTATTTCTTAAGATGGCCAACTAAATGCTCTGATTTTTATTTTAAATGTTACTCCACCTCTTCCCCCTGTTTGCAGTATCACGCTCTGAAACGTGGCGGGCCTTACCACTTTGCACTCTAGCTTGGGAGCAAGAAAGGAGCACGTGGTCACGTACCCAAAGTGGTGGTGGCTTGGACTGATTCGATCCAGAAGCCCCGGGACTCTGTCCCTTGTGCACCATCAGTTTTTTACAGCTGTGGTACACCACTTCAATGAAGAAACTCCCTGTAATCATAGCGTCCTCCCTGCAGAAAGGAGTGAAATCCTGGAAGTCTCGCAGTTTTGAAAAAAATAAATATGACTGGTACTTCCTATGACTTCTGAGTAAATGTGAGCTCACCCCACGTGCACATCCCCTGTTTGCCTGGTGCATCTTGAATTTCCTTGGAGCTCGAAATCCAGTCCCGCTCAAGCTCTGCTGAAACACTTGTAGCCTCCACTTGCTTGTGCTCTGCACAGCCTCTGAAGGGGTTTGTTGGTACGCTCTCCTTTGCTCTGGAGCTCTGAATGTCTAGGACGCACGGCAGTGACTAACCCCCAGCCAGTTTAACCTTCCACTCCAATTCCTAACGAGTTACAGATGTTGTCTTAAAACACGTTAAGCTGACGAAGGGGAAAATGCACTGTTTGTTGATAATGGCCGAGAACCACTTCTTTAGCCTGTGACAAATGCAAATATAAAATGTATATCTTTTTATTAAAGCAGCGGAAGTCTCCAGAGACAAGAGAGTGGAAATACTGTTATAAAAACATTAGGAAAATAACTGACACAAAGAGCAGTCGTGTTTACAGGAGACAGCATCCAGGCAAAAGGAGGTAGCTTTAAGTACTGAAAAGGGTGTGAAATACGGTTTATGGGGGGAGGAATCCTACCAAACTGGATCCTAAGCACTTCTGTGTTAGCAGCTCCTGAAAAGTCTAGTAGTAGTAGTCTATCAACGATCATATTGAAGAGGACTTTTTTAAAAATTGGAAATCTCTTACTGTACCATTGGAAATGGAGGTTCCTCCGCAGCTGTCTTAGAGGGCAGCGAGACAAGATGAGAACCGAAAAGCAAAGCTTTTTCTCTATAACCAAACTTTTAGCAAAAGGGACCCCCTGCAGTAGTCTCGCTGACAGTATCTCTGTTCTTCTTTGGCTGCTTTTATTCGCTAGTTACTCTAGGTAAGGTACAAACTGGAAAAGCAAATTCGAGAACAGAAACTCTGGCCGCTTTTCCCACTGGTGAATACGCTGGAGGGAGGTTTTGACGCGGCTGCTCGACCCTGGGTGAACAGTCTGCAAAAAGGTTCAGGAGCTCCCCCAGCCCGTCCCTCCTCACGTTGCTGGGTAGAGGCTGGACTTTCTCTGCCTTCCCGTCACAGTCATTTGGAGAGCAAGAGCGCTAACACCCTTCGCTGGTGGGAGACTGGGTTTTTTCCAACCTGTAACGTAAAAAATTGGGAATCTCCCTCCAGCAACTGGAGGCTGAGCGGAGCTTCTGGGGAAGCGTGTCTTTTGGTGCCGTCCTCGCTAGAGTGAATTTTCCTTTGATATACTCACTGAAGTGTTCACTTTTGCCTTCTGCTTTCTGTATTAAAACAGGCGAGCTGAGTTTTGTTTCCTCTTAAGCCTGGGTTGAGGTGCTTCTCCTTCCTATTGACTCACATGCCAGAAGAACTGTTACAAATGCCTGCTCTCAAACGCATCGCCTCTGACTTGGGTTTCCTTCTTCCCCACAGGTCTGTGCAGACTTTTGCAGACAAATCAAAACAAGAAGCTCTTAAAAACGACCTGGTGGAGGCTTTGAAGAGAAAGCAGCAAAGTTAAAGTACTCTTCATGCTAACAAGACATGCCATGCACTCGTTAGATTCCTTTCTTAGAAATCTCATCCCCCCCTTGCCCTTTTCTGTTACGTCACGTCACGATTTGCATTCAATACTGTCCATGCAACGCCATCTTCTCCCCATGAATAAAGCTGTACAAACTTTTTCAGTCTCTGAGGCCTACTTTGCACCACATTTTACTATTGAGACCTTAGGCTACGTTTCTGTAGAAGTCCATGTAATTTTTTTTTTCCCCCCCTCTTCCACCCTCCCCCATTTATATGCATAAACACAGATCATTGTTTGTCTTTTCCTTCCCACCCCCTCCTGCCTTTTGTTACATTGGTGTAAAAAATGTAAAACAAAAATTTATTAAATACTGTGGTGTGTGAAAGAGGAAGAACTGGAAAAAAAAAAAAAAATCTATTCCACGTATGTTTGGGGGCTGGGCACAGGGGCTGGCTGGCGGGAGGGAGGGAAGAGAGGGTGTTCCTCGGTGTTGTACTATACTGACTAAACCAGATTTGCAAGGAGACGTTGATTAGG